ATATATATAGATATATATATATATATTGTTTTGGGAGTGAGCACTCATACATTATTGATGCACCTTGCACTTTGTGTATTATAAAAATTAAGCTTGGAGGCACTTTGATCTATTTGTTAACATTTAAGCACTTTGATACACAGTTTAAGATTGAGTTATAAGCACTTTGATTTAATGCTGTTATTCTGCATTTTGCAGGTACATTTTATTGTGGCATATAGATTCCTTGCATTCATTTTTTTAGATATGTATGCACTTTGCACTTTTAGCTTGGAGTGGGGGAATAGCGCTGTCATTTTACATTTACATTATTATCTTTTTGATATTTAATCAGCAGCTTAAGTTTAGATATATTTCTTAGGATTGTTATTTAGAGCGCTGTATATATTTATATACATTAGGGCAAAAACCCACCCTTCACACCGCAGTTGTACTGCTTTAGCAAAACTCTAACTGTTCCTGTTGAGGACATTCCAGTGTTCAAAGATTCTGTGGACAAAAGACTGGAAGCCCTTTCTAAGGCCTTATTTGTCCTAGCAGGCACATCCCTGCATCCTGTCAATGCGGCTATGCCTTTCTGCTAGACCTTGGGTGTATAGTCCAAAGATATGGCCAGAGCTCTTGGATCTATTTTAACTGATAACCCAGTTCTCTAACTGTGGGAGCTCATGCGTGCCACCCTGCACTACTGTTTTTATGGAGTTGTGGATATTATACACTTGATATCCAGGATGGGTCTCCTATCCATTTACATGCACAGGACCCTTTAGCTCAAATGCTGGTCTGTGGAACATAAGTGCTAAAAACACCTATTGCATATGACATTTGATAGTGAATGACTCTTTGGTTGCATTAAATATATAAATTAATACAACAATATTAAAAAATAGCTATACGAATTGTTTGTAATATTTATTCATAGTCATTAAAGCTTTTTATAATGTAGCATTGATTTATATATTTTTGCTATACAGTATATCATTTTTTGCACTGGTTATTATTCATATAAGTTTTTCATATAGTTTATTCATTGGTAGTGGATGATTTGAGAGAATCACTCTTATTGGATAAATAGAGATAAACATGGCACATTTTTTTTATTTTACACATTGTCCAACAGACTGTTCAATTTCTACAGAGGTTCAACTGGATCCTGAACCTCCAGAAGTCGGTGCTGGGAACCGACTCATTGCTTGGAATATATCGGCCTTCTTTTAGATCCTACCCTGTCCAGGGTTTTAATTTTGCAAGACAAACTCCTGACTCTTCATTCCCATGTTCCCAGAACAGAAGCCATCCAACCCTATGCTTCTGCATAAGGTTTCTGAGCGTAATAATTACCTCCTTAAAGACATTGCTTTATGCCCAATTCCACTCGAGATCTTTGCAACCCAACATCCTGGCTGCATTGGACAAGAAGGCACATTCTCTGGAGAGTTCCATGCACCTACCATTCAAGACCAGATTATCCCTGGTCTGCTGGCTCATGAATCCTGCCCTGGAGTCAGGGAAATCCTTCCTTCCACTGGTCTGGAGGATTCTCATGATGTATGACAGCCTGACAGGTTGGAGAGAAGTCCAGGACACAGACCACAGATGTGCTACTTGGAAATCATCAGACTCCCCGCTGGTTCTCTATGGGCACTTCCAGATCTGTAGTCTACAGGACCAATCTACCACCCTGCTGCACGGTCACTGGATTTAACGGCATGACTGTTGAAGCCCAGGTACCAAAAGATAGAGGTCTATTGGACTATGTTATTTCTACACTCCTGAAAGCTAGTTAATTCACTTCTCGCAAGGTCTACCATCGCACTTGGAAGGTGTGCTTAGTTTGGTATGAGGCAAGAATTTCACTCCAGGAAATACTCCGCAGGACGCATTCTGACCTTTCTGCAGTCTAGTCTCAATCAACGTTTGGCCTTAAGCGCCATCAGAGGTTAAATCTCTGTTCTAGCAATTATCTTTCAAAGACCACTTGCCTCTCATTGTTTGGTGGAAGGCTTTGTACACGGCGTGCTCACTTAGTTTTATCTGTATGTCTGCCTGTCACTCCTTTCTGGTTATGTTGATCCTTCCAAAACCACCATTTGAACTGTAGGAAATATTTATCTGTCTACACTCACCCACAAGGTTGCATTTTCATTGCCATCACCTCTTGCTAGGCTAGCTTTCAAGTCTTGAGGCTTAGGTCCTCCTTTCTTTCCAAGATGGCTTCTTCCTTTCATTTTTACCAGAACATTGCACTTTCTTCCCTCTGTCCTGCTTCAGTTCCTCCAAAAGATATTTCCCTCCACTGTATGGATGGTAGTACATGCTGTTCAAGTTTACTTCTGTTAGCTTCTCTATCAGACTGGATGACCCTTTTCGTCATTCCCAAAGGTCCTTTTAATGGACTAGCTAACTTGCATTCCACTATTTCCAGGTGGTTTAGGCAAATTATAATTCAAGCCTCTAGCCTTAAGAGTAACGTTCCACTTTTTCCTGTCAAGGCATACTCCAATTTATCAGGTAGTGCATCTTGGGCTTTTCAGCATCAGGCATCTGTCTCTCAGATTTGCAAAGCTGCCACCTGGTGTTCTGTTCACACATTTGTTAAAGGAGAACTATGGGGTCAGTGTTTTTCCCCATAGTTCTCCTTAGGGTAACGGGAGGACACAAACTAGCGTCCTCCCGTTACCCTAAGCTCAGTATACCGCGAGCTGTAGCTCGCGGTATACTGAGACGCCAGAGCGGATCCCGACTTAGACGCCGGGATCCGCCCAGCTGCGTGAGTGACAGCTGGCTCTGCCTATCTAGAGGCAGAGCCAGCTGTACCCGCCCCCTCCCCCGTCCGTTCCGCTGGTCAGCGCTGGCAGATCAGAGGGGAATCCAGCCCCTCCCCCTGTCACGGCAGAGAGCCATGACAGGATCGAGAGGTGAGCGAACCCGGTATGTGTTCGCTCACCTTCCGATCTACTGAGCCGACCTGTGACAGTCTCATTGTCACAGGTCGGCTAGAACTATGAGGCGAGTGAAAAGCACTCACCTCATAGTTCTCCTTTAAGTTCTGGCATGTGTATATTCAGGCCTCATCTAATGGTGGTTTTGAACAAAAGGTCCTTCAGGCAATGCTGGGAGCTTCCTCTACCCTCAGTGTTAACATTTTAGGGTTTTGTTGTGCTTTTTTTTTTTTTAGCATTTGTTTATGGTGTTGCCCACCTCTCAGTTGGACTGCTTTTGGACATCCCAGTTGACTCTAAATTAGTTCTACATAGTGTCTCTTACAGAAGGATTTAAGAAAACAAAATTTTTTACTTAATGCAAAATCCTTTTCTGGGAGTTCATTAAGGGACACAGGTCCCAACCTTCAGTCTTATGATCTACTCCTAATACTGCTTTTCCAAAAAACTGAAGCATAATGTGAGTGGGAAGGGGTCATACCTGGCTTACTAACAGCTTTGTTTGCCACTGCCCAGTCTATTGTGAACAGCAGTTTAATCCAGTTCTCAAATTTGTTTCTACCCTGTGTCCTTTAATGAACTCCAAGAAAAGGATTTTATGGTAAGTCAAACTCCTGTTTTGTTTTGGACAAAATAGTAAAAATGTCATATTGTGACATTTCAGATGACAGACCATCTTGCCTCAAGCGTAAAGCACAAATGGAATTTGTGTAATCAATTATTGCAAATTATACAATTTGCACCTGCCAATACTTAATCACTAAAAAAAAAGAAATAAAAACCAATGCAACAAGCTCAGCTTCTCTGCCTGTTACATGGTATCGGGTGGAAATAAAAATGGACATAACTAAGCACAGGGTTCCATAGATGAGCAGCATTTAAGCTCATCCAAACAGAGGGTAAGGCCTATACAGCACATGTGTTTAAAGTAAATGTTTAGTGGTTTTGTATGCGCTTTTTCTTTCTTGAGTGACTGAAATATAAATATGTTGCTTTTCTTTAGACCGGTAAATTAAATATGTGACTGTTTTGGATTTTCATATTTAGCTAGCAGGTGGTGCTCTAGGGTCCTTTTCACATATCTTAAAGGCTCTCCATTGCTCCTCTGTTGGAAAAACAAGCCTATTGTTTTCATAGTTCTGTAGCTCAAACGTAAGTGCTACTGTACATCTGATTGCTGTCTATAGTCTATGTATCTATTTGAGCTGTCCTTATCTAAGAGAATCTGATAACTAATGTATGAATTATTAAAGCCTTGGGAAATCTTTTTTTCATGTAATATTACAAGGTGTGAATAGGCACTTCATCATGGTACTATTTTTTTCTGCCATGTATCTAGGAAAGGTGGAATAATTATCCACCTCAAAGTTTTGTCTTATGATAACAAAATCACAAAACATTTATTCAGCAGCTAGCATGCTAGTGTTTTGATATATGTTTATTTATGCCTAGTTATCTTAGGATCCCCATTGATAGGGAATTTCTTCTCTTAGAATGAGCTGCAGGTGGGAGATTTTTCGATCATCCATTGAATGTCTACAAGACTTATCATCAACTTACGCCTTTATCCTGCAGACTTTCAGATGTGGGACATGTGACAAAGATCATTATTTTTTGCACGGAATGATAATCAGCACTTTCAACATTAGCAAATGCCTATCATCACTCAAAAATTACCTTCAAGACTTGCTCAAGCCAGTTGCTTGAGAATATAAAATATTGTACAGCAGTTATAGTCCTTGCCATTATTTCTTGTGTAACAGATTATTCTTGTTGCTTTTGCAGGGGCAGGCAACCTTGGCACTCCAGATGCTGTGGAACTACAAGTCCCATGAGGCATTGCAAAACTCTGCCAGCCACAGGCATGAATCCCAGAGGCAGAGAGATTATGGGATTTTTAGATTTACACAGCTAGAGTTCTGTGGTTGCCTGCCCCTGTGTTATTGCATATATGTGTTTGCCTAATGTAACAAACTTCTATTAATGAGTGAATTAATTTTTTTTTACAAACTGTATTTATGTATCAGTAAAATATGTATTTTAACTTTGTGCTCCTAGGTGTTCTCGGAAGGATAAATGTGAACGAGCAGGGGAACCTTCCCGATTTGCAGCTAATATAGATCGATGTGTTAAGGTTACCGTAAACCCCAACAGCCTTCCGGTTTCTGAGCACAGCCTTCCGGTAAGTGCAAGGCATATGGAGGGACTAGAAATAAGTACACATGTAGTCTCAATAGATGCAGATAATGATTTTTAAATGTTTTTATTACAGTATTAATGGAATTCTCCTGAAAACGTTTACTGCATCAAATAATTGTAATCAAGGCATGTATTGGGGGCGTATGTATACTTACCCCCAGTTAGTGTGGAGAGTAAGTGTTAGAGTTAAAATAAAGTTACATAGTTAATAATGCTGAATAAAGGACAATTTCAGCAAGTTCAGCCTCTCACAGAGAATTCAGATTTTTGTACTTAATGTAAAATCTTTTTTTGGAGGGACACAGAGATGTAGTAATTCTTGGGCAAATGGATTATAATACCACCTTCAGGAGGTTTTGACACTGGCAAACAAAAAAACGTTAAGCCAGCCCCCTTATAATCCCGCTTCCAACTGTCATGAGGCAAATGGGGTTATACAGGGGCTGGCATAAGTGTTAGTTTGACAGACAATGTATGGACCAAAGAACAACACTGAACAGTTGGGGGTCAATGTAGAATACCCATAACTCTTGACTTCAGGTAAAAGGTATATTCAAAACATAACAGTCCTCTCAATAGCAATATTAAGAAAGAGAGGAAGTGAAATCTTTGTTGTCAAACAAGAAGGGTAGAGTACCGAGTCCCTTTTAAGAAAGAGGTGTAGAGATCCACACACCTAAGTAAAAAGGTATGCTAAGCGAGGATATATTGTAATGCAACATATTTACGGGGACCTCAAGACATAAAGAATGAAAAATAGTCCTCCCTTATTTTGCTAGGATCTCCTACTAAATTTTGACAGTATGGTCACCTTGGCTAGAGTACATACATCTTGAGGGTACTCCTGATCCTTTGTTGTGTCTTTAGGGTGGCCATAGAGAACAGCCCTTAAATGCGGAGGGTTGGAGGTAACACTACTGTTTTTGTCTGCTTCTGTTCTATGCCCCCACCAACACACACACCCACACCACCACCATTGCTCTCTTTCTTTGCTGGAGCAATCTCTTCTTTCTTTACACTCTTATTTTAATTTTTAGTTGACTTGTTTTCATATTCTCTTTCTGTAGTTACCTGGGATTTTTCTGCATATTTTTTTGTTATACTGAATTGCTACTATAAACAGTATGCCTGTCCTGTACACATCATCTAATTGTAGGTGGCAGGATACAGGGGGAGCATCTCACCTTTTTTCTTTTTTTGTTTATGGTGACTAAATTCCTCAGTGTCATTCCTTTTCCTTTTTGGTTCCTTATGGGGATCTTTGGTTTTGCATTTGTACCTTTTTAACTGGTTGCTATGCAGTATATGTATGCTGAGCCATTGTGTTGTTTGTATGCCTTTTTTACTAGTGTATTTGTTTAATCATGTGCTCTTTTTCCTCCTCTTCTCTGTATTCATGTTTTCTGGTGTTAATAAAATTATTGTGAAAAAAAGAGTGACCTTCCAACTGTGATAGTAACAATAAAACCTGAATACTTTGATATAGACAAGAAAGGGGATCTTTCTTCCCACACCTAGGTCTTGGAAAATAAAAATAGAAGTGGGAGTCGGCTTAAAAGATGGAGATTACAGTACAACTTGGGAAGCTGTCGGTTCCATAGAAGCAGGCCTAAAAGTAGAAAAGGGACATTTTGTCAAAAATTTTGCTTCTGCAATTCATGTTAAAAGATAAAATAGTACTAAGGGACAGTACAAAAAGGAAGTATGTTAATAAAGTTCCCATTAATCCCAGATTAAAAGGGTGTTTTTTGCATACTATTTCTAAACTGATGTTTTTTACTATATGGATGCTATTTTTGTTTTGCAACTAAACAATATATTAGAGAGAATTTCCAGAGCATAGAGAGTATGGGTTGGTTAGCTTTTACAGCCCTGCTTAGTTGCCTCAGATCGTATTAACATGGGACCTGGAGCAGTGTGAGGAGAAATATTCACACATAGCACATAGCAAAAACTTGCAGTGCCTTTATATATTGTGCATCCCACACTAATGGTGAGCTCAGAGGAAGTGCTGTATGTGCACAATGAGATTTGAGAGTGCTATAATACCCACACTGCCAGAACTGCTTTACTGTACTAGAGTACCAAGACTCAGGCTAGTGAAGGAAACATAGTTATTACACTGGCCTCTGCTAGTTTGTTTGTTTTTTTTTTTCTTTCTTTTGCTCTGTCTTACTTGTTCTATGCTGTCCATTTGTTTTTCTCTTTTTATATAATGTCAGAGGTGGAGACAATTATAAGGTGCCTGTAGGGAGCATAAATGTTTATGTACTATTCTGTAAAGGTGCAGAAATTTAAAACTTTCATCTGTCACCCAGTTTTGTTCCCCTAGTTTGTATGAGAAATGTATGTGTTTAGCCCCCATATGCACAACATTAATAAACCTTAAACTTCATTTACCATGTACCCTTTTCAGCCAACCAGTCAACTCAGCTTGTAAGTCAGAGAAACCTTGAAAGGTCTATATACTACTACCATGTTTTGTGTCCACTGCAGGCATAGTAATGGTGCTTTTGAAACCAAATGCTATAGAATTCAATTTAAAAATAGTTTCAACAGTAACAGTGCTGAGACTTAACCTTGGTTTACATCACTCTTACAACCAGAGACTATTCATGGTATAAATCATTATTTATGACTTTCTTGGTTCAGTCTTTAAAGGAGAACTATGAGGTGAGTGCCTTTCACTCACCTCATAGTTCTAGCTGACCTGTGACAATGAGACTGTCACAGGTCGGCTCAGTAGATCGAGAAGTGAGCGAACACATACCGGCGTTCGCTCACCTCTCGATCTTGTCACGGCTCTCTGCCGTGACAGGGGAGGGGCTGGATTCTCCCCGCTCCGATCCGCCAGCGCTGACTGGCGCATCAGATGGGGAGGGTACCGCTGGCTCTGCCTCTAGATAGGCAGAGCCAGCTGTCACTTACGCAGCTGGGCGGATCCAGACATAATTGTCGGGATCCGCTTCAGCTGCGGCGTCTCAGATGTACTGTGGCGTCTCAGTATACCGCGAGCTATGGCTCGCGGTATACTGAGCTTAGGGTGACGTGAGGACGCTAGTTTGTGTCCTCCCGTTACCCTAAGGAGAACTATGGGGAAAAGCCTTAACCCCATTGTTCTCTTTTAAGCCAATTTTCTGGACATTTACAGATTGAATTTTCTAAGCTTTTAGATCATACACATTAGCCGTCTATAGATTTAGATTTGTAAATAGTAGATTTGTCAAAAGCTTAAGCAATGTCCAAATATACTACACCCATAGCCACCCCTTTTTACATGGTTCTTGTTTCTCATAAAAGGAAACCCAGATAGCAAGCAATTGAGCTGCAAGTTGACTTGCAATGACTTGCTAAACTATTGCAGACTTGCCGAGCTTCACAATTTTGTTGCACAATTACAGCAAGTCTGCATTGCAAGTCTCCAGATCAACGTGCTTTGCAAAAGTGCCGTACACTTGCAGAGCTTTTGCTAAGACCTGCAGGACTCTTGCTGTAGATTTGCCAACCAATTTTGCTATAAATTCAAAAAGTGTCAACTAGAACTTGTGCTGCAAGTGTTCTGTAAGTCTACAACTTGCCAGGAATTTGTGCAGCAAGTTAACAAGAAATACAATTTAACCCTGCCACAAGTTTGTGGCAAGTTATCCTTGCTATCTGGGAAATGTGTTGTTTGATGATCTCTGTCTTTTCTAAATCCATGCTGGCTATGGATTATGGTGATTTCTATGAGATATTATATCCGGTCTTTTAGCAGTCCTTCAATGTCTTCTCTACAACAACAGTTAAACATGCAGGTCTGTAGTTACTTGGTAAAGACTATGATCCTGATGCCAGTGAGTTGGCACCAAGCCAATTATTAGTTTACAAAATTATCTGGGAATAAACATGGTGAATGTTGCTCCAATCCACATAATCTGTTAATCGCAAACAGGTGTTTATTGCATAATTGGAGCTAGGAGGTGTTATTAACCTGCCCAGAGAGAGGTGCTAAAACAGCATTGTATGTGGCAGAAAATAGATGCCTCAACCACATGTGGCAGACAATAGATGTCTCACCCCTGCCTCTATTTAAGCTTGGCTTCTCCATTTTACATAAATGTTTGCCAGACTGTTCTTTCACATGATTCTTTGTATTCAAATGGTGAAAGTGTTCTAAAATGTTATATTTTATTTATTGTTTTAGATTTTTTAACTCTATAAGTAGCAGCATATGTTTTTAATGTAGCCTTCTATGCCTTTGTTGAAGTGAATAATTTGTGTAATGTGTTAACATAAAATCAAATTGAAATGCTAAGGGATTTATTTAAAAAATGTTTTCATGCAATAGTCACACAGGATTTACACATTGTCCCAAAAGAATCTCATTAGAAAACCATGTAACTCTTGTGGAAAAACATGTATAATTAGACACCTAAATTATGTTCTGAGTCTTTTATTGAAAATGCTTCATCACAATCTTTGTGTAAGTGATGTGGCCTTTAGCACTGGGAAATTTGCTCTCCTAAAATGAAGCCTTTTAGTCTTTCCAGTATATGCGTGTTGTAATATGGTTACTATTTTCCAGATTTTCTTCATATGAACATTTCCAATAAGCTCTGCATTGTGTTAGGTTAACAGACCCAACAGAGCTTCCTACTTTGGGCTTCTATAAACTGTCCCATACAATTAGCCTAGAATACATTGTTGCCCTTTGACTGTAACAGTAATGTCTTTACACCAGTCAGTTATTACCAGCTTGTCAAGCCTTTTCTATTTCTGTCAGGAGCTGAGCCTCTGCCTCCTCATTAAACCTGGAGAACTTGTAACATACTCCTGTAATGAACCTAGCAGCATGCACACCTATATATTTACACTCGTAATGCCTCAGCACCATAACACTCTCCATCGACAAGATCTCTCTAAAATGTAGAAAGCCAAGCAATATTAACAGCGCAATAGTGATGAATTAAACCAAGATTCTGCAATACTAATAAAATCATAGTGTTTTTCATGCACCAGCACTTCAAACTCTCCTATTTTCTTTCTATACTTCTAGTGTTTGTGGACAGACCTATTTAATTGTACCATTACATTTTGCATTCATATTATTAGCAACACAATTATAACTGCATTTTTCACTGTTTGCTTGTCACTTTAGGATCTTCTTGTCACCTTTTTCTAATCATCCACCTAGCATCTCCCATTTCACCATTAGTGACTGGTCACTGTCTGACTAGTATGCCACATTATTTTTCTCCAACTTTTACACAATTCTACACATTCTTGCACAACTCCTTCCATCCTAGTCTCAATACTCATTAAACTCATAAACCCATACTTAGAAACATCTTCCCATCACAGCAGACCCCCTTCTATTCAGGTAAAACATACCTGCCGCATAGATGTTGTACTCCAATGAATAGTCAACTAAATTATTTCTTCTTACAGCAAGATTTTAGCCATGCACTTAGCTCTGTAAGCTCCTGCTGTCTTTCCTTAACTGTGCATTGCACAGGCAATGTTTCCAAACATGTATCTTCTGTAAGCCTTCACTTCAGCTTACAGTCTATTGCTGTAAATTAGATTTTTAGGAATCTTCTACTGTCCATTTTTTTCACCATTGGTCCCAGCCCCTCCCAGTAAATTGACAATCTGGTCTACCACATGCCAAACCCTGGCACCAGGGAGAAAACAAATCATTTAGGTGAGCTGATCCTGGCAACAAATTATTCTAGCAACATTATTGCTAATAGAATACAATGTTACCACCACCTGTCAAGACCTTCTGCATGACACACCTCGCCCCTTTTAAATGGGCAACTCTCCAAACCATTGGGGGAATCGTAACATATAGAGCTTTCCATTTTTGGACTTGCCACACCCAAGTGTTCATCTTGTCAAATATGCTTGGGTGCTCAGACACAAGGTATCATTTTGTGAAACCCTCTATTACTCTCTGCAGCTACAGTTAGCCAGATGTCTACCTGAACATCCTGAGTAATCCCTCCCAACTTGAACCCTTCCTGTATATAGAAAAACGTTTTAATAGCAAAGGAAAAAAATGTGATCTCTTGTTCTTTTTCCTAGCTCACTCTGGAAGTTACTGATGTTCCAGATCTGTCTTTTGGTGTAACTTGCTCATTTGGCAACATTACTCAGGTCGAGGGGAAAGTGTCTGGCAATAAAATTGTCTGTATTTCACCCTCTTCAAAAGATGTACCCATCATTCCTGCAGATCAAGGTATGACCTTTTTCCTTCAATATTATTTAAAGAATGGTTCCTCTAGAGTCCTTATTACTATAAGCTTACACAGAGTCTGGGTGTGATCGTAAGACTGGGGCAAGGGCATAACACATTGAAGTAATTTGTCAGAATGGGAGTATGTGTGCTGCCATTGGTGATTTGCTTGACAACTTATACATACCATGAGTACATACTTTTTCCTGGTCCTTGACTAACCAAGTGGTAAAGAATAAAGATGGCAGCCCCAGTAAAGCTTGCAAAACAAGACACATCAGCAATGGCAGGCCACATTTCTATCCTCACAGTTTGTAATGCTCCCCTTATTGGACCAGCTAAAATGATGGAATCTCTGAATAACAAATGCTGTGTAAAGCTATAAAAGTCTATCAAGAAAGAAAACTATTAACTGGGAAATAATTGTTTAGGGCAAGTAGATATTGTGTGGTTCTAGACAAGAGCTAATGGGAAAACTATCAAATATTTTTTTTATAATCTGAACATTTAAAATCTTAACATTGATAAATTGTTGTCACATTTGCAGTTAACATTGCTGATTTCCCTTCTGCTTAAATTAAAGTATTACAGGATATAACTCTCTGTTTTTGGAAATTACCTGACTCGGCTCTGATTTGGGAAGCTTACCCATTAGGCTTTTCCATGATTTCCTACTGACTAATGATTTATCCTCATCTAATGCACATTCTAATGAAAGCTTTCATATACACCTATAGTAACCTCAGAGTTTAGTACTCACAAAGTTAGAACCTTAAAGCAGCTTACAGACGACAATGACATAAAGTTACAAACTAATCAACTAAATGTGCCAATAGCATGGCAAATGGCTTGTCATAACATCCCATGCTGTCTATCATAGAAAAATATATGTAGGGGTATTTATCATTAGACTCTTTATTCCAAGCACCAATATGTGGAAGCTCATATGATGGCTAGTGCCTGAAGCCCTGTGCATGCATAGTACAATACACCCCCATGTACATTTCACTCTTTTTTTTTTTAAATGTTTTTAACGCTCCTTAAAGTATAGTTGTGTGTATTTGCTATGATTTCATTTCTAAATGAAATGCTCATGGGTTAGCTAGCACATAATGACCACAAAAAAAAACGCACTATTTATTAGTCATTTATATAGCGTGATAATTTACACAGTACTTTACATACTGTACATTAACATCAATCCCTGCCTTCACGGAGCTTAAAATCCAAGGTACCTATCTGAGAAGCATACATACTGTACACATACTAGGGCCAATTTAGACAGGAGGCAATTCATCTAACAGTATGTCTTTGGGGTTTAGCAGAAAACTGGAGTACCCAGAGGAAATCCACAGAAGCACAGGGAGAACATCCAAATTCAATGCTGTATCAATGCAGTATCATGGCTGGGATTTTAAGTCAGAAGTGCTAATCACTAAAGCAATTTTGATGCCCAATTTTGATGTGTTTCCTCCAATTTAGAAGAGCTTACATTGTGACTTTTGGGAAAGAGGATGAAAATGTGTTAAAACATTTTTCATGCTAGTATGTATCGTATGAAAAATATATCTGTATGTGTGTGTTATTTTTTTTCCACATCTAAAGTATATTGAAAGTCAAATTTTTTTTTTCGTTTTGGATGGAGTGGGAAAGGTTTAGAACCACCCTTAGATTTTTATTGCTGTCTGTTTTGTCACTGGGGAGATTCACCCTCCATTTTCGTTCTAGTTACAATTGTCATCAATACAGAAATTATTGGGAAATTAAAAATGGTACAGTTGTAATCCGAACAGAAATAGAGGGGACATGCCCCAGTGGATTGGATATTGCCTCACTTTGGAGAAATTTCCTTTCACTCCCATTGGTCACTGAGAAACTATTAAAGAGAAATCTCCTTGATAGGGCACAGATAGCATAAAAAAAGAACCTAATGGGTTTTAACCTTTTCTACACAATCCAAAACTTAGATATACTTTTTTATACACTTCACAGTTTGCAATCTCAGAAACAGAACCCATTGTAGTCCTTTAGGGGACTACTTCTTCCTATACTCTTGCAGGTTGCTAAATGTGTTTGAGGTATGTGCCTCCATTGCTTTTTCCATACTGTGGGCCTTAACTAACTTAATAAGGTTTACATGAAGACCAGCAGATAGGGTAGATATGTATTCTGGTTGAAGATCCACACAGTATTACTGCATATTGAATTAATGTACACTTTTTATTTTTGCTGTCTTTTTTTATGACATCTGTGTCATTGTAATGATTGTAGTCAATTTGTCTTTTAGACTGGTATGGTGTGGAGCTTCAGCTGATCTCCAAAGAGACTGGAAAGATTTTTGTGAGCACGGACTTCAAATTCTACAACTGCAGTGGTCATCAACTGTAAGAAATTTCTGTTGTTCAAAACATTATTTACAGGTCAAGATGTATTCAGGCATCACTTTTAGCAGTGTCCTGCAAGTCTGCAGAGTGTACAAATGAAGTAAAATGTAGTCCACTGGTCAGCAGATTATTTGAATGTCACTATTTAATGCAATGCATCCTTTTGAAACATTTATTTTCAATTAATTGTTCCCAGAGTGACTGTGCCCTTCTAGCACCAGAGTGTGTTTAGCACACCTCAGGTGGACTGTACTAACACTTAAGAACCATTCAAACCTATGTGTGCATTATTATGCTATCTGCTTAGGCAGTCTTTTTACTTTGAATGGGCCCCAAAACAAATGTTGACCTCCGAAAAATATGCCTGGACTTCTTTGGACATAACAGCACACGAAAACACATTGTGTATTTGTGCATTGTGGTGCACTGAAGACCAGATGCAATTGTAAACACAGTATATGTGCATTGGGGTGACATGCTGAATGAATGCCAACACATTGTAAGTCATATTTAATACCACACGTGCATCATCATTGTGGTTTGCGCATCATAACACATCACGTAAAGTGGTAATGAACACATGAATAGGTTTGAAGGGAGCCCTTTACAGTTTAGGCAGCATGTTTGTGCTGTACACATTTGCTCCAGTTTTTCCAGTTTTCCAGTTTGTTATTGTTTGTGTATCTCCTTCATGGGTAAATTATTATTATTCCCACTATTGTATATAGCGGCAACAGCTTTAACCTCACTTTACAGACTGATTAACAGTATTGACAGATGTAAATATATAACATAGTTAACAGCAGCTGTGAAATATTAATAAGAATTCTGAAAAGAAAAATCATGATGTTGTGGTGTTCTGAAAATGTGGGAAATGGCTTTGACTGTGCTTTTCTTTCTTCAACAGTGGTTAATTCCATCTAGGAATAGATTTAAAATAAGTCTTGACTATACAGGGAAAAGCCAATTTTTCAGGTGCAGATAGCTTCATTAGTAAAACATATAGTACGTACACAAATATTGTGTATATAAAGTTAAATATATATACAATTAATTAATATATTTGATAAAGCATTGAAGCCACAAAATACAGCCTTAAAATAGTCTTTCTGATTTTTCTTTTTTTTTTACTTTAGGTTTTTATGAAAGTGTATGAAATATAAAACACATATAACACCATTAATATCCAACATGGGACAAAACATTTTTGAGCTCAGTGGGGCATAGATGCAACTTAGTAATGGCAATCAGGGCAAACCACAAACTATATATATATGCGTGTGTGTGTGTGTATATATATATTAGGGCTGCGGAAATTAAATTAATCCCTCGATTAATCATAAAATGTTTTGATCGATCAAAACATATTTTGATCGATCAAAGTTCTTTTGATCTGTACTCACCTCTCCGCCGGCTTCCGGGTCTTCCGTCGGAGATCCGGTGACATCACGGACATCGACGTCACCGGACTCCTCCCCCCTTCCACAAGTGGCTCTGTCGGCTAACGAAGGGAAGGGGGGAGGAGTCCAGGGACTTGTAGTCCTGCATAGTTGGAGCTATTTTGCATTACTGTATAATCATCATACAGCAATGCAGAATAACACCAGCTGTGCAGGACTACAAGTCCCAGCAATACATTATATTATTAAGTAGAGATGCACCTGTGTGTGTGTGGGGGGCGGGGGGTTAAAAGCTGTTATTATCATTTACATTATAATCTATTGCTGGGACTTTTAGTCCTGCATAGTTGGAGCTATTCTGCATTACTGTATGATGATTATACAGCAATACAGAATAGCACCAACTATGCAGGACCACAAGTCCCAGCAATGCATTATATTATTAAATAGGGATACACAAATGTGTGTGTTTTGTGGGGGGGGTTAAAGAGCTGTTATTATTTACATTATAATGCATTGCTGGAACACCCCAGAACGCAGTGAGCTGGACGGGTTGCAAAAAATTGCCTGAATTTTTCTATCAGGTCCTCTTCTGGTGATTGAAAGCAGCAGGGGGCGGGTGCAATAGCTAGTTTGCTATAGGCTATTGCAAAGTGAAATAGCCAATAGGAATCTAGCTATGCATTCTTATGCCTTTTTTTTTTTTATTCTGACAACTGCAAAAAAAAAAAAAAAGTCTGCAGATAGCAAAGAAGCTATTGCTTCCTGTGCTATCTGCCATCATTTCAGGGGGGTGCTCTCTCCCAGCCCCCCCTAACCCCCCCCTCCGCGGATGGGGGGGGGAGGGCACCTCCCTGAAATGAGAGGGACACCTCCCTGAAATTGCTTATTTCAGGTTGGGATCCCTGGCATTGGCCTATACACATACAGCACAGCAATGAAGTAATACAATGAACTAGGATCACACTAATCCAGCACATACCAAAAATGTTTTTTATTTTATTTTTTGTAAACTTTTTAAATTTTTTTATATTCATTTTTATTCATTTTTTATTAAATATTTTTATTTTTTACTTTACTTTTAGGGGCTTCTGGGAAATAGTAGGGGTCTAAACAGACCCCTGATATTTCCCTTTTAAAATAGAAAAAGAGATTGAAAACACAAAGTCCTCACTCTCTTTTTCTCTGTCCCCTGTTATCAATGAACAGGAATCCTCTGAGTGTTCCTGTTCATTGATAACATGAGAACATTGTTTGTTTACTATAACTACAATTATGAATGAATGGGGGTGATGTAGATCACTCCCATTCATTCATAATTGAGGATATAGTTAACATAACATGTCCTCAATTATGTACACACACTCAGCGATCACTGATCACTAAGTGTGTGTACCTTGCTTTTCTCTCTGACACACACTGACTCCGCCCCCACACCGATCTGCCGGACTGTGATAGGCGGTTGAGCAGTGTGGGAGGAGAGACGCCGGCCGCTCACTGTGCCTCGTCCTGCAGCGCTCGGCCGGCTGTTGCTTTCTTTTCTCCACGCTGGAACAGCGCTCAGCGGGGAGAAAAGAAACCAGGGATGCGCCGATGTGTCGGCCGAAACATGGCTCTTTCGGCATTATGCCAAAAGTGCAATTTTCGGCCGATATGTTTCGGCGGCCGATATATCGGTGCATCCCTAATATATGTATATATATGTATATAAAAATAATGGAATGGAATGTATCAAAACTGGAGCAGATGAAATCTGGAGCAGCTGTGCATGGCAACCAATCAGCTTCTCTCTTTAATTTTCAAATCTTAACGGAACAAACTAAAGAGAGAAGCTGATTGGTTGCCATGCACAGCTGCTCCAGTTTTTCTCTGCTCCAGTTTTGATAAACTCCCCCTCGTGAGTTTAACCTATATGCAATAAGTAATTCTTAGTGACAATTAGAGGATACTTTATGTAGAATTTCTGAAATGGATGGAATATTGTAAGTGTGCCAATTGCGTGCTGTAAGAATTCTAGCTAAGAATAAGATATGCATGATGACGGATCTATGTTGAAGAGGATAGCTATCAACAGAAATGCTTAAGAGCGCCATTTCAGGTGATGGAATGTTGATACTTGAGAATTTAGCTAGAAGCTTAGACATTGCCAAAAGCCTTTTAAACTTTTGCAAAAGCAGAAAACATGAGGTAAGTTACCCACTTGGCCACAGTTTTGCCAGCAAAGAGGTAAAGATGTCGGCTGTATTTTTGATAATCTATATGGGGTGAGGTACCATCCGATAAGGATTTTTTGTGCATTGTCCCAAAGGTCGATGCACCAGGAGTGAGATGTATTGGCCCTCAGTGCCACTTCCCATTGTTGATTTGAAACATTCAACTTCAGATCAGATTCCCATTTAAGCATTTGGGATGTTTTACTAAAACTCATATTGTCTTGAATTAATGCATAGAATCTGGAGGTACCCCATTATGATATCTATCAGATTGGAATATATCCCAGGCCGTTGAGTGAATGCTCAAGGAGTTAAAAGTATTAGACCTCCTATAATGAGAGATTTGTGAAAAACTATAGTAATCCAAAGGGGTAGAAAGGGCATTAATAAAAGGTGTGTCTTTTTTTCCAAGAAGAAAGATTAAGATGTGGAAAAAGGAGTTCATAAGAGACTATTGGGATGGGTCTATCAAATATAAGGGCATTAGGAATTTTATTATATATTAAATGCAGCCATGCCTTCAAAGAGGATAATAAGGAAAGGTATTCAAGAGGATGGCGTTTCCCATTTACACAATGGGCTATCAACCAGAGATCTCCCTGATGAACAAATTGCTGTTCCATGGTTGACCAAAGTTTATGTTGTAATGGGTGAAAGCAGACATACAGTTGGTCCAGTGGGGATGCATAGTAGTGAGATTAAGGAGACTCATTCCTCCTTTGTGTTTACAAAGTTGTGCGTTTCACTCTGGTTTTTTCCCCTGCCAAATTTAATTATCAATAGTACAGTGCAGTGTTGAAAAAAGTAAGAGGGGAGTAATATAGATATTCAAAAATAATATAGAATCTTGGGAAGTACGACCATTTTGAAGGATGAGATTCGCCTATCCAGGACATTTCAAATTTAGCAATATGGTATAAATCAGATTTAACTAATTCTAGAAGTGGTAGGAAATGTATATCTACACATATAGGTAGACGGGGATGTTAGATGTATGCCAAGATACGGAACCTTAGATGTAACCCAAGTAATACTATATATTTACCGCAGGATAAGTTGTTCAGCTTTCTTTAAATGTATCGGTAAAACCAGAGATTTCCCCGTATTGATGTTATAATAAGACAAAAAAAAGGAATAGTCTTGTTCCGACTGATGTAGACATCTCCAAATATCGTAAATGTCTTCTTTGAAGAGCAATTTGGATAAGGATGGTCTACGGGAAGATGTAGGGTTCGAAATGTCAACTGAGGCATCTGGAATTGCTTGAAGTCACCACATAGAAGGAAATGACCCTGGCGTACTTGATGGATTTTTGGATATAGGGGTCAATTCACAAAGCTTATTTTCTTCATTTCGGCCGTTATTTCATTGATATCGCTTGTTATATAGTATTTAAGAATGGGAATTTATTTTTCGTTCGAAGCCTACTCATGAACGATAGTAGTGGAATTAATATCGCAGACTAGGATGATAAAACGACCATTCGGGTCAGACTCCACAGAGTGTAGAGTAAAGGAGACATCATTTTTAATAGCTATTAATACTCCCTTGTTCTTCTGAGCAATTCAGAGAAATATATGAGGAAAATTCTTATGTTTGGAAAATAGGAGGATTCCGTGTATTGAAATGCGTTTCTTGGATGCAGAGTATGTCAGTAGAGTGGCGATGAGAATCCTCCCAGAGTAACTTTCTTTTGAAGTAGCTATTCATACATTTGGCATTAAGTGAGAGAATCCTGAGAGCCATTGACTTTTATGGAAAGCGACAGAATAGCATAACATAGAACTTCAGAATAGACAAGGGTGCCGCTGACAGTAAAAATTGGTTGGTATAGTCGGTTGATAAAAATCAGTGCTAGACATGCCATAATATATAGATCGTAATATCGGAAGCCACAGCTCCAGAGCAAAGAAAATAGAAAAAAAGAAAATAAGAACTGCAAAAAAAAATAAAAAACATTCAGAGACCCTAAACTGGATCCCCCGAGGTAGTGAGGATATAATATCCAGCACTTATAAGGGACGGAGAGGAGCTCCAAGGATAGTAATCCAGACATGGCTGTTCAAACTTGAAGATAACCAACACATCTTGTAGACACAAGAGGATACTAAAGGTCATGGAGCAGGTCCAGAGCAGGTAAAATAGAGCCTGCTGCAGTTTTTTACCTGCTTTGGACCTGCTCTGGAACAGAAGGCTGCGATGTGAACTGGAGCTAAAAATACCATTGGAATACATTGGACGCAGTTTTGCTCCGATCTGTAACTGCTCTGCTCCTGGAACGCGCTTGGTGTGAACAAGGCCTCAGGTGTGGACATCCTCTCATGCCATGTCGCTAAGCCCTGAAATGGAGTCAGGTCCGGAGCACTTCTCCTATGTGACCATCTTTTGCCAGGCTTGGCCACGCCCCCCTGCAATTAAAAGTGTAGTAAAATCAACACAAACATTCATTCATTCATGTGCATTTTTTTTTTTTAAATGTTTCTCTAGTGTTCAATTGGATTTTTTAAGTGAACTAAGTTTATTTACTGCTCCTAACTAATTTCACAGTTTAGTACATCAGGCTTACTCTTTCAGCAACAATCAGGATCCACTACGTCATATCCGTTTTACATTTTTCATAGAGCCACAACATTAAAGCACTGTATGCTGCGGATAAATGTGCTTGTGGAATAGCTTAACCCTAACCCCCCCAACCACTACACGTATGCCCTTGTACTTACCTCATATCAGCAGACAACTGGATCCAGAAGCAATGACCTATGCTGACTGTGTTCTTTTCCTGTTCTGAACTGGTAGGTCTGTAAGGTACTTCACATATGTGGCTTTTCTCAATCGGCCTTAATAGAATATCCTTGCAAGCTTGCAGGGTGATGGTTTTTTAATCACGGCCCATAGAGATTAAAGTGCCCATGTGTACTATATGTGGCATAAGTGTCTCAAAAGAGAACTGGATCAGTTCCCCCAATTATTTAAGTACAAGGGCTATAGGTAGTATGGGAAAAGGAATGGGGAGGCCGATTGACTTGGGTTGTTTAAAAGCATAGTTATCCTTTTATAGCTAAATAGATTACAAAATGTAGCAACTGTGTGGTTATTGTGTGTTGTTTCTTTATTGTAGTGTATTTTATGTTCTAGCCCATTCACTGAACACAGTGCACAGTGGTGTAGTAGTTGGCGCTTCTGCCTTGTAGCACTGGGGGGTCCCTAGTTTGAATCCCGGGCAGGTAATTATCTACAAGGAGATTGCGTGTTCTCCCTGTGCTTGCATGGGTTTCCTCCAGGTTCTTCGGTTTCCTCCCACAATCCAAAGACTTGCTGGTAGGTTAATTGTCTCCTTTCTAAATTAGCCCTTGTATGTATGCATGCGAGATAGGGGCTTTACATTGTAAGCTCCTCGAGGGCAAGGACTGATGAGAATGTGCAGTAAAGCTCTGCGTAAATTGTCGGCGCTATATAAATACTAATAATAAATACATTTAAAAACAGGATGAAATTGTGGATCCTAAAAAAAATCCTAGCAGTAGGCATACACAGAGTACAGGCTTGAAAATGTAATTATAGCACACCATATAGAGAGCAGCATGCAGGGGGCATATTGATTGCACAGTGCATAGATTACATCAATCCACAGAATGCAATTAATAGCACTTCATACAAAATGCAATGGTTCAGACTATATAATGTAAAGCAAAACATACAGAACACAATTGTCTTCTTTATGTAATGTACAAAAGACATTGTGCTGTGCAATGCAGCATATAATGTGTGGCACAATCTACAGAATGCAATGCACAGTGCATTGTGTGAGTGCAGTGGTACGGAGTATGGAACAATACAGCACAACATACAGATTGAATTGGTCCAGAGTAAGTCCTGTGCAGAACAGATGACAAATTGCTGTGATCCAGAGTATGTTATGTGCATCATGTATTCCAGAATGCAGTTGAGATCATTGGTGTCAATTATCACTTACCGGAAAGACAAGAGGAGACTCTATCCTGGTCCTATAGCACTGGTTCTGCTGAGTGATGAGCACGCTGGAACTATGCAGGCGTCAGTCCATCTGCATGCTTGGTGTCTGTGATTGAGGGCACAAAGCTAACCTGGATTGAGTAACATCCACGTTAGCCGTATAGTGTGGACGTGTGCAGTTAATTATGGTTTTTCATGAAGACTCAACTCCACTGCCACAGAAAATCTATCCTTGGCAACATTGCTAAGTTACTTTAAGGTCCATAACTGCAGAAAACTTTGAGTAATTTAATGATTGCAGGTTGGAGGCCTGAGCAGAAAGCGATCTGATGGATGCAAGTCAGGTATTTTGATACACTTTGGTATAAATTTTGAGGTTGTATTGATGGATGGCATTGCTACAAGTGTGTAATGTGATATGTTTAAAGCAAATATCTGTATGCTTATTGTCTGTCAGTGTGATGCAGTGTTTATGCTGCTGGAGCCCTTCTTGGTTACAGGAAACCTGTACTGTTTAGGCTTGGCCATGTTCAGTGTATATGCAGAGGAAGTCACTGTTTATACTAGTTGGCTGGTGCTAGAGATACTCTCGGCTTTTCTACTACAAACGTTTATGCCTTGTATGAAGTGCTAAATGTAGATGGTTTAGCAAAAAAAATTTACGGTGCAAGGACGAGTCCAGACTTTGTCTCAGGCCATAAATTGGTTTATTTAGCATTTGCTGCTACATGTTTTGATTGACTTGTCATAGGAATCTAAACAGGTTGCTCTGTCCATCTAGTCATGGGTGGCCTCTTTTTATACTAAATCATCTGCCTTTCAGTGTATGTATCTGTCACTTAAGCCACTCAAAACAAAGCTACTTTATTTTGCACTGTATTTTGTTACGGACTCTTTAATGTGTATAAATATGAATGCAATACAGTGTGAATGTTCAGCTGTAAAAGGTTAAAAGAAAAGCATAACGTATGTTAGGGTGAACATATTTTGCGTTATTGGTTACCTAATGTAACTTTTTTTTTTTTTATTCTTATATCTGCATGTGTGCTGTTCCATATTTTTATCTTTGTATTATATGTAAAGAATGTTGTATTAAAGTGACACTGATCGCTCTGTAGTTGATTCTTAAAAATTAGGGATGCACCGATACTTTTCGAGTACCAATGCCGATACTTGGCATTTTCAACTACCAGGATTGCAGCGGTTGCAGCTGGGACCTTGCTCTGGTACGCCACCACTGTCCTGAAATCATTAGTCGATATTGTTTTAGAAAAACTGTCACATGACGATAAACAAAAATGTATCAGTACTTGTAAGTAATTGGGCAAGTATCAGTACTCGCAAAACTGGTATCTGTGCATCCCTTCTTTCATATTTATAAAACAAAATCATACATTAAAACAGAGATGTACAAATCCCAGGAGCTCCGTTTGTTCCTTACAAATGACAGCTGCCTCCTAATTTTTGAATTTTTCTCTAGTCTAGTCTTGGAGCCCAAAGTATCGGTACTTGTACTTGTACCGAGTATGGTACTTGGTATTGGTGCATGCCTATTAAAAATACATTCAAGTACCTTAACTATTACCAATACTGTACATTATTATGGTATCACTCAGCTGTAGCTCATCAAATCATCTCTGAATTCATGTTGACACTGTCCTTCCTTCTGGAGGGTGGCTACTTTTGTTCCCCATGGTCCCTGTGTGTGTTGTAAAGTAACCACCTCTCTGAGGTCACTCCTGTGATGGACTACAATCTCAATACAAATTCGTAAATTAAACATGAGATTGTAGTCCATCATGGAAGTGAGCTTGGAGTGGTGGCTACTTTACAACACACACAGGGACCATGGAGGACACAAGTAGCCACCCTCCAGAAGGAAGAACAGTGTCGGCACCAATTCAGAGATGATTTGAGGATCTACAGCTAGGTGATACACAAACAAGATACATCTTTGCCAATAGTTAAGGTACTTGAATACATTTTTAAGACTAAACTCCTGAGTTCAAGGTCTCTTTAAATGTAGATTTAACAGTAGCAGTAGGGTAGATTAACCACCACAATGACTGCTTAACTGCTACAAATGCTTAGATAAGATATTAGCAATGCATTGTCAGATCTTTTTAAACACTGAGAGTTGTTTTCTCTGTTTTCTACAAGGTGCTTGTCCTGTGTGAATAGTGCATTTCGCTGCCACTGGTGCAAATACCGCAATCTCTGCACTCATGATCCAACCACATGCTCCTTTCAGGAAGGCCGGGTCAACGTCTCTGAGGTATTATACTGGTACAACTTATTTTTACCTAGGAAGATCTGTTGGCTTGTATCCACAAATATTGGACTGCATAAGGAAACTCTGCCAATGTTTTTCTCTGTGCAGTAATAGAAAATGTTCCCTGTTTCATTTATAAGCAACAATAGCACAACGGACTGGTTTGTTGTGTGTCCATCTCAAGAGCTCCATTTATGTGCTTGCCTTTCTGTTATGCATTCTATTCCAGATAGAGATACCAAGTGGCCACGGCTCTTTACCATTACAATGCATGACTGGTATTATGGCCACAGTTAGGGACCCTTGGCCTACACTATAGCTTTCAGACTGTCATTACCATACGGGTATTTGACAGTGCTGCAGACTGATCCACTGTGTAAATGTTTTTCTTTACAAATTTTGGCATGGTACCATCAGAGTCAAATGTATGTTTACATCATCTTCAAAGACATAAGTTGTCTATGTGTATTAGGAACCAGCTGCCCTTGTCTACATGTCAAGCAGCCAGTCAGATACTTTATCTGCTTATTTAGTGCCTGAACTTACACATTCCACAGGGAAAACAGGAACATGCACACACTAGCTTTACAAATTGTCAGATGTGTCACAATACAATTTTATCTACGATTTCTATGTTGCATTCTGGTTGTAATGGGACATCCCTTAGGATAAGCAGACAGGGATATTTTATGTAGTAGCCAGATGCATATCAAAAGATGTAAAGCTGCATTTTGTTTGTGCTCTATAATGTGTTAATATCCTGTTTAAATATGTTTATATTGCTTCATCCAGTGTAATTTTTGTATGCATTTGATAGACTTCCTCAAGGCAAAAGCACAAGAAAAACTCATATAAAACATACTGCAGACGTAAAAAATGAAAGTACAACAAAAGGCTCCTGAATGACAGTCTAAACTAGTACCAAATCCTGTTACTCTGTGATGCTCAAGCTTCATAAAGTAAACAAAAAACTTCCTTTACTTTCTCTGACTGAGCCAAATCTTCCTTTATTTGTGCTTCCATCCTCCCCCTTCCAGACGCTGCAGCTTCAACACCAGAGGCAGTGCTGTCAATCCAGAACACAGTGGGCAGAACTAAGTTGGCCAGGGGCTGAATGACAAGCTGATAGTCACTCCCCCTGCAACATTTTTTCATACCGCTCCAGTGCTGTGCAGTCTACATGAGAGTGGCAAATCTGCTCTGAATTTAGGAGCAGTGCAGCATCGTTGTCACACCATTACAGGAACCTGAATTAGGTGAACATCATTGGCAGTCTAAACGGGTATTTGTGGGACAGGTATATGTGCACCAACAGCTATGTTGAAGATGATTTGTGACGTGCACCAAAACCTGGAAAATTGAAAATTGCGATTTGTCACAGTTTCTGCACCGTATAAAGTAATATCTTAGCTATAACACTGGTATTAGCAGCGGATCTGCGCCTGGTCTGAGCCGGTGGAGATCTGCTTATGGAGTTGACTGACTTTCTCTGATAAATGTCTATACAGATGCTTAACTTTTTCGAAATTGGGCCAGGAAAACTGACTCATCTTCCCCTTTTCCGTCTGCCTAGCTGAGCAGATGGGAGGAAGAAGGAGGCAGCCAATAAGGTTCCCTGTGTTGAGTGTCCAGACATACACTCATCACAAACAGCGGGAAATGTTGTGCTGCTTTGCTGCCTATCTTCCCTGGCAAACACTTCCTGATCACATGTGAGACAGGAGAAGAAGTGATACAGTGAGCTTCTATATGTACAACCAGGTGTGCACTGTCACTGTGCAATATGCACCTAATTAACAGAGGGACCTTTATTTAATAAGGGCGCTGTGCACACACAACCTGTCCTTCTGACAATGCTAGTTATATATGTAATTCTCCTACTGTTGTCTCCTGTCAGTTGCAGGGTAGGTGGACCTGATGGGAAACTAGTCTTTTAGAATCCCTATCTGGTTCCACTGACGCAACAGCACAGCATCTTTCCTGCTTCGCCTGCCTGGGTGGCAAGTACAGTGGCCGGGCCGGAAGCTCTATAACACTGAGCCTGTAGTTTTATCAGGCTCATTGCTACTGAGCTGAACTGAACTGCAGTATGTCCAGTATGAACACTCTGGCCTTGTTGCTAGCCTACATGAGACAAATTCATTTACCTGTTCCTAACAGGTACATAAATCTGTTGCAAGCACTGATATTTTTCATGCAGAGGCACAACAGAGTTCTAAAGAGTGCCCACGATACCCTTTATGAATTCATAATATATGTGAATGTGCTTGTGACATTTAATTGCATTAGTGAGTAAGGGTATTTTTATTTTTGTATTTATTTTTATCTTTCTGTTTATGTACAGACACCTGTGTTTGTAGAATATGTTTCAACTAACCTTTGCTGCTTTATTAGTGAGGTGGGCAGGACATGCCTTAAGAGAAGGGTGACCATGATATGAATTTCTTCCTGTCTTTTAGGCTATAGTAGTGGAGAACAGTAGTGAGAATAATTTATATCCTAGACACAATAGGATATGGGCTCCCCATATAATAATTTATGAAAATATACACACAAGTTATTTAATTCTAAAAACTATTACTAAAAGTATTTGCATTCTATGGCAGCACTGAGCTGCAAATGGATTTGATGAAAAGGAAGCCAACACCGTTAAAAATAAATAGATAAAAACCAGATTGTATGTGTTTGTTATCCTAGGGTGTTATTTAACTTACTAGAAGTTAGTGGCAAAAGCTATGATGGATTGGTCCAGTTCCCTGGGGTTGCTCTGCATATGAATAGCACTCTAGTAGAATAAGTAATGAAATTTGTTTAAACACGCGGTGTATGTATCCGCAACTCTCTGTGGGAGCAAAGACCTTTAGAATGTCAGTTATCAGTACTGCTGTGGAATAGAAACAGGGATAATGCATGCCTTGTAGAGCTAGAAACACACAATTTGGAGATTAATGAAATATACTCAAAGGTGAAGGGATGGAAATACTATCAGTGTTGTAACCCTTTGGGGCAACAAAAGTGGGTATAGGGTATAAATGAGTGGAAAAACGAAATCAATCAATATATAAACCAGAGGAAAGGGTGTCTTTCACTTTCCACGAGAAAAATGGCTTTTTTATGGTCTAACCTGCACTAGACAAAACAGTTGCAATATAATTGGTTGCTAATGACTATCTTTTCTTTTTCCCCAGCTTTTTTTTTTATAGCAAGCCTTTTCTTTTCTTATTACCTATAAATGTTATTTTTTTTGTTCATAAGGGATGCCACATGCCTTAATTTTGATTGCTAAGGTATTCTCAGTAGTAAATAAAAGATTAACTGGTAGTTCCTATGATTAATAAAATATAGATTATAAATAATAGAATAATACAATACATCTAAAAAATCATATTATATGCAAAATTGTATAATGTACGATTATTGAATATGTTAAAGAAGTTTTAATCATTTAATAACATGGGTATTTTTGAATGCAATTTATTTTTTTGTAAAAAGCTTAGACTTTCCATGGTTTGTTATTTTATCCAAATCTCAATAGAACCCATCTCCAAAAGAACTCCCACATTTTAATCTGTCAGCTAGTGGTATTTAATAACCTATATAATAATGCTTTTGAATTGACTTTTACATAGTTCCATATTAACAAGAGTTAAAATGTGTCATGCAAATAAAACATAATAATCTATTTTGTGAATTAGCCAATGCTGTATTTCTAAACAGATAATGAAAAAAAAACCTCATGATAAAACATATAACAGAATATTTATGAATTGACTCTTTTTCCAAAGGTTGGACAATCGAACCTTTCTAAATCCTATGCCATTTATGAAACATTCAACAGACATTTGTCATGAAAATATTTACACTGTTCTTAAAACATTTACGCACATTCACTGAGAGCTTATTCATCACATTATTAATATGGTGAAAGTTGATAGTGAATGTGCCAAGAATATACTATGAATGTCGGTAAATGTGACTGGACAGTGTTTTTAAAAAAATGGCTGTTTTAGATATTTAATATCTTCAGGTCACAGATCATTTAGCGGTTTTTTTTTATGTTGCACATGATGCCTTAATATATTACAATCAGATCCCATTTAGCCCCCCCCATTCACATCTCTGAAATGCGAGATTACATAGGTGCTGCAGGGTGCATTATCTTGCGCGGCGGTGGTGTAGCCCATTTATTTGAAAGGTCTGGCTAATGCAACTAAATTACACTGAAAGTGCATGCGTGCACCTTTTCTTTTGAAAGCAGGACTCCACGAAAAACAATTTTTAACCCATGCAGTGCGGGAGTAGCTCATTTTTGTCTAGGTTCAAAAATAACTAAGTTATACCCACCTGCTCCTGGAGCCGGCTTGCTCTTGACCAGTCCCTTCTGCCTGTCTCCTCCTCCCCTGCAGTGATGGCATGTCAGCATCCTCACATCCTATATACAGTGTATAGGATGTGATGATGCTGACATGCTATCACTGAAGGGAAGCATCCTCACATCCTATACACTGTATATAGGATGTGATGACTCCCAGGACCTTAGACTGCTGCACAGGGGGGGGTGAGCAGGTATAACTTTGTTAAATTTGAACCTAGAGAAAAGCCTTACTGCAAGAGTTAAAGATCTGCATTAAATTGCACAACATTGAAGGGTAATAGATTACCATGCAACGTGATGGGATGGCTAAGTGCATTGTGGTGCCATTAAAGTATCATGGCACCGCACATTCCAACATGCGATGAGGGGTCACATGCGGTATTGCACACGCTCCCGCATTGCAAGCGTGAACAGAGCTTTAAGTACTGTTCTTAATGCTTTTTTTTTCGCACTAACAGTTCATTTTTCACAATAAGCAGTACTGCTTAGACTTAGTAGACTTAGTAGAAGGGGTTACCCCAAAATTACAAAACATTATTGGTCGACAAATTGCATGGAAAATAAAATAGTTTTTGCATGACTATATCACCAAAAGAAAGTCTTGTTTGTTCTGAATAAAAAAAAAATGCGTATTAGATATATAGTTACAAATGGCTGCCGTGAAGATAAACTGGATACATTGATTGAAGTTACTGACAATTTATAGTCTTCTCCAATATGTGATATAAAGTTAATTGCTCAGCAACTTAGCAACAAAAGTGCTGGTACGGTAATTCTATCAAATTGCTCATGTAATGTGGCCCTTAGTCCGCAGAGAAAAATTACACGATAGCAGGAGGAGGGTAGCTGCTTACCAGCAGGATTTTGGTGGTCAGAACATGTGTGTCTGCGCAAAAAGGGAATGGAACAATCTTTTATGTAGCAATATGCTTGTGTGTGAGAAACTCCTTTACTGTATACCAGTTAGCGCATGGAAATATATATATATATATGTGTGTATATATATATATATATATACATCATTTTGATAATACATTTCTTAATATCTGATTAAATACATTTTTTTTATTTTAGGATTGCCCACAGCTGGTACCCACAGAAGAGATCTTGATCCCGGTTGGGGAAGTAAAGCCGATCACCCTTAAGGCCAGAAACCTGCCCCAACCACAGTCAGGTCAGAGGGGTTATGAGTGTGTTCTAAACATACAGGGTGTGATGCATAGGATGCCAGCTCTGCGCTTCAACAGCTCCAGTGTCCAGTGCCAGAATAGTTCGGTGAGTATCTTTAGAAGGGGCTATTAGCCACAGCTTGCTACAACATCATAACCATTGCTTGATTTAGTTAATTGTAGATACTGACAAAATTATGACATGCTAAGCACTTTCTAAAGTAAAATGGCTCTAATCTACCTAGTTTGTAGTAAATTTAAACTGCCGTTGCATTCCTAAACTTTAGTACTGTAAATTAAAATGCTATTTTAAAAGATTGGCACACTGTATCTGGCTATTCCATGTTGTAGCCTGGGGGGTGGTCATTTCGAAGAGAAAGTCAGCAATCCGACAAAATGCTAATTCACAGCAAGCTGATAAAACAGAATAGGAAAGTCTTATCTGTCTTTGTGAGTTCCCGCTCATTTCAACTCAGAATTCTTAATACAGGTGCTCCTGGCAGTGTAGCATATGGTCTGCAGGAGACAAAAGCAGGCAGCAAAAAGAGAAAATAAACACTTTCACTGAACAAACAGCTGCAGGAGGTACTTTAATTGAGTGAAGTGGAGATGCATGAATATAGCATAACCTCTTTTCAACATTGTGTTAATGGAACTACATTGTAAATCATTATACTAAAGACTATATTTTTATGGAGGTGGATAGAGTATTATACTTTTGAATAAAGCAGTACAATACATCATATTTAACCCCTTCATGGCTATGGACCGTTAGAAGCATAATGGATTTAACATCTTTGGAAAGACTTTGAATTTATTTTTAAGTCAGTACAAAGTGTTTTTGCATTATATAGCAAACTCTGTTTGGGATTGTAATGCTTGACAAAACTTTTACAGATATTTGTGGTCTGATTCTTGCAGTAAAGCTCAAGGAAACTAAACCAGTATTATGTAACGTACATTACTATGCAAAAATCAGTGTTTGTGTTCCATTATAACAGCTGTAAAAAGCGCCATTATAATATAATTGATCAAATGTTATTGGACCCTGTCCTATTAACATTTGTTTATTCCTTGCACGTACTTGTAAAGAAATGTGTAGGTACTTGATATTCCTGATGCCCGTTCAACACTGCTCCATTGCACCAGTGCCTGCTCAGGCACTGGTCCCACCATGTCTGCTATAAACCAACACTTCTGGGACTGTCAATGTCCGAGAATCCTGCAGCTTTTAATGGTTCCTGCCTCTAAACTCATGGCATACTAGAATACAGCAGTGACAGGTTTTGCCTTTCAAAGGATTTGCATTTCCTTCCATATAACCCTGATGATGACATTGATAATGACATAGTGCATTGCTCTGAGATCTCACCTCACTTAAAAAAATAAAGCTGGCCAAACACTGTTATATTTTCTTTGTTCAACCTGCGGGCTGAACAAAGACAATATAACAGATTCCTCCATCCACGCTCACGAGCGTGGATGGAGGAATCCCCCGCTGCTTTCTTTATATTCTGACAGAATACCTGAATGGAGCTTGCAGCTGATTAGCTTTAAGTCCCGTTCGGCCCGTGGACTTTTCATCCAAATCCTTTGATCACCTGATTAAAGGATGCCAGCCGGAAGGGTGCTGACAGCAGCATCCACTGTGCAAATTTCTGTGAACCAGCCATAGTGCAAGGCCAACTTAAGGGTGACACAACAGATATAAGACTACCACCATGATGTCTCAAAACTAGAACAATTGAAAATTAAACTTACATATTCGTATTTTAATATTTATTTAGAAATAAAAACGCCAGTTAGTTAATCCGTTATAGTAATAACAGCAATGGGGATATTCAGTATTGGGGAGTACCTGTCTGACACTGTACAAAACTTTGTAATGAACCTGTCTTTCTATACAGATATCTTTATGTGGGCAGTGGTAAGATGTCACATAAAAATACTCCTATATATAAAAGTCAAAGAGTCAGGCATTGATTTTTAAACTGACCCATATCAACCACACATCCTTTAGGTATACTCTCACTGATTGGAAAGTCTAGACAGAGTGGCAGAAAATGCCCTGACTGATCTTATTCCACTAATCTAAGTGTTTCAGACAGATATTGTAGAATACATCACTACTTACTTTTAGAAGATGCCAATGTGTCACTAGGAAGAAGGCATTAGGCTGTGTTGTATGAAATGTCTTTTTTAATTAGTTCCATGTGTGAGACTATTTGCTGAGATATAAAGCCCAATTCAGGTCAAATAAATGTATATGCAGCCGATATAGACATTGTAACCTCAGTTTTTATAGTTGTACCTATACTTTCCTTCACAGGGTGTCTAAATATGGCTGTGCAGTCTAATAGGCAACAGAAAAAAAAGACTCAATGCTCTTTGTAATTTACATAGATCTGGTCAGACACCCGCACCCTTTTCTACAATTAAATGTTGTCTGAAGAAGCTTGTGCAGGGTTGTGGCTGTTACTTTAAGCTGCATCTGTAGGGTTGTCAACAGTTGCACATGTAATTTTGTTGCAAAGAGAGATATGTTATGAGAGATAATAGTTTGTATTAGGGATGCACTGATACCATTTTTACCACACTGAGTATGAGTACCGATAGTGTCCTTAAGTACCCGCTGATACCAATTACCAAAAGCTTTTTTTTTTGTGTCATTTGACGGTTTTTCTAAGACAATACAGAGTAAGGATTTTAGCACAGCGTTGAAGTGCCAGGGCCCAGTTGCAGCTGCAACCCTAGTAGTTCTGCCACTGACTGCAGTAGATTGACTACAAATCTCAGCAATACATTATACAGCATTGCAGAATATCACCAGCTATAGAGGACTACAAATCTCAGCAATACATTATATAGTAATGCAGAATACCACCGGCTATAGATGAGTACAAATCTCAGCAATACATTATACAGCATTGCAGAATATCACCAGCTATAGAGGACTACAAATCTCAGCAATGCAGAATAATACCATCAGCTATAGAGTATTACAAATTCCAGCAATACATTATACAACAATGCAAAATAATAGTAGTATTCTGCATTGCTGTATAATGTTTTGCTGCGATTTGTAGTCCTCTATAGCTGATGGTCTTATTATAATACTGTCACCTATAATAGACTACAAATGCCACCAATACATTATACAGCAATGTAGAATAATACCATCAGCTATAGAGGACTACAAATCCCAGCAATACATAATACAGCAATGCAGAATAGTGTACGAATTTGCTACATATTCTGTGGCTGACACTCTTCTCTGGGCTGTTGGCCTGATGTCTCAGGCAGAGGGTCTCAGGAGGGGAAGATTTGTAGGCTGATGGAAGCACTGTAAACAGGCACCACATGGACAGTGCAGGACCTAAAGCAGCCACTTCAATTTGAAAACTTAAATAGTTTTTTTAGTATCGGGGCATTTTCATGTGAACAATTAGTAGTACTAGTTTGTAGCAAATAACATAAATACTTCATAGTGTAGACCCTAAATATGGCTTAGACCTAAACAGGTCACGTGACACTGCCTAACTGAATCTGTACAAGTTGTACATTTTCTTATCACCTAATCTCTCTCAGCTTCTATCTTTAGGTGGTCAGGCTTAAAGTTCAGTTCACTGTAGTATCATCAGCAACTCTACCCATATATTTTTCATCTAGCAGTTCTAACTTCATGTTAAATTTGTTTTCAGTATTTTTATGAAGGAATGGATATCAGTGACCTGCCTGTTGTTTTCTCAGTCGTCTGGAATGGAAACTTTATCATTGACAACCCTCATGGTATCAAAGGTAAGGGGGGAAAAAAAAAAGGTAAAAAGGGAGAGTGATATTGCTTACCTTGTTTTAAACATTCTAGCTATTTCTAGCCATTAGTACAATTTTAGTCATTGGCCCAGAGCAAGCATGCATCAAACGAAAGGAAATTCATAACTCCTGATCTACATGCTTGTTCCAGTTCAGTGACTCAAAGTACAGAAGCATTTGAATTAATAAGACCAGGCAACTAGAATTTTCACATTTCCAGGTTTCCTTTAATAGTACACTTATTTATGCACAGTGAACATTAATATTGGTTTGTGCTATTGGGTTTACTAAACTGTGAAGTGAGGTAAAATGTAGTAAAGTGAAAACAATTATGTGCAGAAAATCTCATCTTTTAAACCAATTTACAAAAATTAGAAGTGCAAATGTTTTTTTTACACTTCTCCTCATTTCACACATTAGTAAATAATGTAAATTAGTAATTATTAACCATTTAAAGGGTAGTTTTAGTAGTGAGGAAGGGGGCATTCTGCTCCTCATTCTTCTGACCTGCCAATGTTGGACGGATGTCACAGGACATTTTCAAATATTGCTGGACCCTGGGTATTGGTAAAAAATAGATTACATAGATTTGTATTACTTGGGCATGCTTTAGGGAAGGACCCCTCATTTTTGGGGAAACCCAAGTAAAAGCCCCCCCCCCCTCCCAATGTTAAAGGATATGTGGCCTAGCAAACTCTTCATGACCAGCATTCTTTTTTTTCAGTACAAAATGCCATGATTCAACACCTCAACCCAAAAAGAATTTTTTTTAGAATAGGTTAAGAGAATGCTGTAATAAAGCACAACAATCACCTAAACCCACTGGGCCTTTTAGTTATGGTCCTTTGCTTATGGCATATTACAGCAAATGAAAGTGCTATTTTTTTTTTCCTCCACAGTTCAGCTGTACAAATGTTCAGCTCAGAGAGAAAGCTGTGGTCTCTGCCTGAAAGCTGATCATAAATATGAGTGTGGATGGTGCAGTGCGGAGGGGCGCTGTACCTTACAGCATCACTGTACATCTTACCAAAACCAATGGCTGGACTGGTCCAGTAGGAATGTCAAGTGCACCAACCCACGCATTACTGAGGTTTGTAATAAGCTAAATATTTTTTATATATAAAATATGCAGTAGACAGAAAAAATGTGCTTTGTATCAGCTCAGTTTATGTAACCATAAATGTATAATGATTTTGATTTCTGTAATCTTTTCTCATCTGTCTTTTTTCATTCCCACCTGTCCTGTATTACAATTTCAGTCTCTTATACACATCCACAGGCTCACAACTGGTAAATAAAAGTGAGTGATGTGAATGCCAAAAATCTCAGGAAGAAAATGTACTTTATTTTCCATTGAGAACTGGGAACATTTAGGACAACATAATGGGGTTTGTGTTCTCATGAACTGTCAATCAATAACTTGACTTGTTTAGATCACTTATCGGTTAGTCCAGAACAGCTCATCTGCCAGGAAGTTATAGAACGAATAAAGGACATATTAAAGAACAATTCCATCTTAGATATTTATTTCCATGTTGAAACTGCACAGGGGTTGTGGCCAAAACAAATGTCTAGTCAAGAGCGTTGTCTGTAAGCTATCTGCAACTGATATTGGGGGAACGTTTACCATGCTTTGTTCCACACTGTGTGTCCCTATGGCAGTGGTAATCATGGGAGAGGAGCAAGGTTTTGTTTCCTTATGACAGGCCTTCCCCTGTGATAGCTTGTGATTTAATAAACTGATGAACTGATGGCTGGTGGGGAAATTCCTAAATAGACAGCAATAGAAAAGATAGAAAGGGCACGGATCCACAGGCAGCAGCACTAGTGGAAGGAGACATTGAAAGCAGCAAGTGAGGTGGAGGAAGCGCATATCCACTGAAAGAAAGAGGTATCCGCAAAGAGATCCTTGGATTGCAGGTCCTCCTGGACAATTTCCTTACAGTTTATGTCCTTGCCCTTTGGCCTGACCACAGCCCTAAGAGTGTTTACAATTCTGCTCTGGTACTGGCTTTGTTTTCTATTTCCCTAATTTGGAAATCTTTTAAATCCCTTGCCAGACCCATAGGCATCCTCAAAACCTTCTTTATGAGGGCCTTATAAAGCTCTTTTGGTCTTGGCAATATGACACCACACACATCAATAGCACAGGGAAAACAACACCCTAGATATCTCCACCCTAAGGAGGCTGTAATCATTCTGGAACACCTATTCTGGAACACTTGATTCTAATTTCATGGATTTGAAATTGTGGTAAATGTAGGGGTGTACTTCACTTTTCTATGGGACAAATCTGCATGTTCACTAACTTAGATAAATCAATTTTCTGTAATTTTTTCAAATATATCACCTCAATCTGTAGGCATCATTTTCATTGAAGAGCTAATATTTGATCAGTTCAAATATGTTGAAAAAACCCCCCGTATCCATGGGGTGTACTTACTTTTTCACATGCAGGTATATATCATATGTCTTATCCAACTATAATAAATTGTAAAACCAAGCACTAGTGTCAATTATCTAAGGATAAAAAGCAGTGATCAGAATTGCAATAAATCGATGTGTATACATACATTCATGCAGTATGTGTGTGTGTATGTATATATATAAACCTAAATTTATTAACAAATCAACCACATTTGTAGTGATTAGCCCATTCACAAAATAAACTTTACACCACAATGTGTTAACCCCTTCATGACTAGGCCTTTTTTCCATTTTTTGCACCCATGTTATATTCCACATTTTAGGCCAGCAAATTACTTAAAACCCCCAAACATTATATATTTTCTGAAAGCCAAGACCCTATACAATAAAATGGTGGCAGTTGCAAATTTGTATGTTAAATGCCCTAAAGCACAATAAAATACCCATTTTTAAAAATAAAATATAAAAGATGAGATTACAATGAGTAAATAGATACCCAACATGCCCAGGTTAAAAATTGCGTGCGTGAAACGGCAAAAACATCAGTACCCCAAAAAGTCCATAGACGACACTTTAAAAGCCCCCACAGGTCATCAATTTAGAGATGCCCAAAAATACTGGCCCTAGAATTATTGCTCTCACTCCGGCGTGCACGCTGATACCCAACGTGTAGCACGTTCGTAGTTTTCATACGTAGGCGTACCCAGCGCATGTGTTACGTGGCGGGGGACTTTTAACAACTTTTTTCGATTTATTTTATGTAATGTTAATTTTAAAAACTATTTTTTTTGTTATCTTACTTTACTTTAATTGCTATCACATAGGGGGGCTTACACGCCCCCCATGTGATAGCAGATGGTGTTGACAGGTACTCTTTAAGGTGATGCTGGGGGTCCAAAAGACCTATTTGGAGTGTCACCTTTACACTCCAAATAAGCTATTGAAGTGCAGATTGCACTTCAATAGCTTATAGCGGGCTTCAGGAGCTTACGCTGACACCTATGTGACCGGAAGTGATGTAATCTGCATCGTTCCCGGTCCCATAGGAGGGGATCGGTGAACAAGGTTCGTCCATCTCCTCCCCGGAGACACCAGAGAAGCCGGTCCCGGGCCCATAGGAGGGGCAACAGAGCCCGGGAAGCACGGCGGGGGGTGTCGGATGGGGACCCCTTCACCGGGCCGTAGAAGCGATCTGGCGACAGCTGAGTCGCCAGAATCCCTTCTATTGTTAGCCGACAGTCAGCTTTACAAGTTTAAACAGAGTCACAGTTTAAACAGCCCTGATGCTAGCGACGTACACTGTACGTCGTTAGTCGTGAAGGGGTTAAATAGTTTCTATAAATTTGTCAACAAATTAATTTTAAATAAATTCCATTTAAGTGTAAAAATATTGATTAACATAAATCCTTGGTGCTCCACTATGTTCCCGAGGGACAATATCTGACCTTTTATGAGGAAACTAATATGTTAGGCTATTTCAGTTAAAGCAATATTCACATGATAATGTGGTATTAATTGGTATTATCCTCCAGGGTTGCTCAAAATGACATAATATTGAGACTTCCATAGTGCTTTCTGTAAACAAATATTTATTAAAATAACTTTCAGAAATGTTCCTATTTTTAAGGCTAGATCCACACCTAGGCGATTTAGCTGGTGAGCTCTTTTCGCATGGTTGTTGCACGTTTTTGATTTGCGTGATTTTGCTTTGAATGCATAGAGATGTTTATGTAACCCAAACTGCGCGGGAACCACCTAAAAATAGCTCTTATTCTACACTTTTTTTGCACAACAGGCAATTTCTACCATGTGACAAATCACAAAGGTGTAATCAGCTTTCCATAGACTTGAATGCAAATCTCTGTTTTGTGCGTTACCGCGCGGTGTGAACCTAGCCTAAAAGTGCACTAGAACTCTTGCTCTGCAAGTAGATATAATCAGGGCGCTTCACTAATGCACCTCTCGGCACTAGGAATTCCTCCTCCTAAACTCTGCCCAGCATTCTTGCATCTCCTCAGATTCATCCATTATCCTTGCATAGCTGACACATGGGTGCGGCAGGTGGCATCAAAAGATGACAAAATAAAGTTTCACCTTCATCTTCCACCTCCATTTTTACTTCACTTCTTCCTGTGTCTGCATTTGTAAAAAACATACCTTCCTTTCCGGGTCATTACCAATTCTTCTTCACTGTGCTGTGGGCAGCAACCACTGTCAGTTTGTAGCCCTTTCCTTTGGCCTTGCCTCAGCCCTGGGAGTATTCCCAAAGATCATTGCACCCGTTCTGGCTCTTTTTGATCTCAGAGGAATTCCAGTCTTTAGGTACCTGGACGATCTGATGCTATGAGAGCAGACCTCTCTGATTTTGGCATCCAATGTCAATCACACTGTGGATGCTGGAGAACTTCAGATGGATCCTCATGATAGAGAAGTGATCTCTGAATCAGCCACACAACGCTTGGGGTACTTTGTCCTTCGCCTGGATACCCTTAGGACTAAGGGCTTCCTGTCACAGTCATGTTTGGCAACATCAATCCTGATATTGGTTTTCCCTGTAGAGCTGCATGAGAGTTATGGGACTCAGGTGTGCCCACATTGAAAGCAGTTTCATTTGCTTAATTACATTCAAGAATCTTGTAACGTAACATTCTCATGAGGTGGGACAAGTCCAGTCTGTCTCTGGACAAGGTGATCCTTACTTTGGAAGATTGTAATGAGGGGCACCAGTCTTCTTGTCTCAGGACTCTTTGTCTGTTTAGGGTCATTGTTCTCAGGAAGAATGTGCACAGTCAGGGGCGTCCCGAGGCATGCGCGGTCATCTTATTGATGCCTGCCGCAGGTGATGGTGATGGACACCGGCAGAGAGAGGAGGGAACGTTCACCCGGCGGGATGAGGTATGCCGCTGGGTCCCCTCCTCTCTCCTGACACTGTCGGGCTCTCGGTCCATGACCAAGTGCCTGACTTTTCATAGGGGGTGACACCAAAATGACTGTCAGTCATTTTGGTGTCACCCCTCCAATGGTGGTACTCAGGTGCAGGCCGCACCCCCCTTGTGACACCACTGTGAACAGTGACACTGGGAGTGATATAATGCACGTCACTTCTGGGTCCAGTGATTGGAGGAGAGATCAGCGGCCTCCCTCTGATCTGTCAGAGGAGACTCGCCGGTCCGGTCCCAGGTGCGCATGGGGACAACGGAGCCCGAGAAAGCCAGTGGTGGAGAAGGGGGCACATAACGTCGCACTGTACATACGATCCAGCGCCTATACAGACACCGGATCTCTTACACATAAGCAGCAATCGCCTGCTGTTTAAAACTTTACCAGCAGCATCGATGTTCTTGGTATAACCACTTCAAGCTGATGACGTGTATTTACATGAACCTGCGTGAAGTAGTTAAGAGGACAGGCCTTCTGTTTTCCATGTGCCTAGTGTCTATTTCTCCTGTAGGCTGCAATATATCCCTAGGTTGCTTAATTATCATGATGATGTGTCCTTCAATTGTGAGTGCTAAAATCTTATTCATTTCTAAACACAATGTTTTAGAGCTAGGACCAAAAACATGCTGTGTTATTAAAAAACAGTGATTACTTTACATAGCCATTTTGCCCTAATATCATACTAACGTGCCTAATTTCTTGTTTAGAAGGCTAACCTTTTTC